GGAGGTAATCATAAATGGTAGGCATATAGATATATTGATAGATACATACATACATACATACATACATACATACATACATATACATACATACATACATACATACATACATACATACATACATACATACATACATACATACATACATACATACATACATACATACATACATACATACATACATACATACATACATACATACATACATACATACATACATACATACATACATACATACATACATACATACATACATACATACATACATACATACATACATACATACATACATACATACATACATACATACATACATACATACATACATACATACATACATACATACATACATACATACATACATACATACATACATACATACATACATACATACATACATACATACATACATACATACATACATACATACATACATACATACATACATACATACATACATACATACATACATACATACATACATACATACATACATACATACATACATACATACATTCATTCATACATACATGCATACATGCATACATACATACATACATACACACATACATACATACATACATACATACATACATACATACATACATACATACAAAGATAAATACATACATAGATAGATACATACATATAGATAGGCAAGCAGAGAGACAGATATGTAGTTAGACAGGCAGAGGGATTGACGGATAGATAGCTAGACAGACATAGACAAAATATATATACTATTATGAAACATTATAACATTCGACTGGAATTCAAGTGCAGTTCATAAAATGCTACGACAACAGCAAGCCAACGAACACTCACCGATATTGGGAATCAGGAAAATCAGAAGGAAGAGCGAACTGGAAATATTATCCGACGCGGTGATCAGACCAGACACCAGGATCTCGGGCACAGGGTACGAGAGATCTACACCCAGCTCGTAGTACAGCGGGATTGATGCCATCCCGGAGGCCATCCCGCCAGACACGGATACGTACACTTGCCCTGGATAGAAATACGGGTAATTTATGAATGGATATTATAGGGCGCTTGTGTAGCAGACAGCATCGACAGTAGTACAGTATCATCATGTCCCAAAATCTGATAGTGTGCAGTATGGTGGTTCAAGTTTATATCTGACAGGAAAAAAACGTGTTATATAATTATACTTAAAGATGCTGCTTTAATGGGAAAATGCGAGGATAATACTAAAAGACACCACTAAAAAAATAACAAAAATGAATGAACAGATTAATCAATTAAAGCTTTACTCATAACACAATCGAAAATAGTACATGATATAGCTCTAATGATATTATCCTCCACACAGACCAGAGGTAGATCAAATCGCTTCTTTGGTGCACAAGCTGCTTAGAAGAAAACGGTAAAACAAAGAGATGCAAACACAGAGTGTCCTTCACCCTCCTCAACGCACATTTGGTGACGGGCAGGACGCCATAGGACAGGAGGAGGAACCAGTAGAAGGAGAACGCCGCGAGCAACATGAGGCAGATGAGGGTCGTCCTCACCTGCCGAGGGAAGTGGTCGTTGAAGCGGCCGGCGAAGACGGGGCTCACGCTGGAGCTCACGACGGCCGCCACGCCCACCCACATGGCCTCGTTCTGGAAGGCGGGGGACAGGGCGAACTTAAAGCTCTTTTCCATATCTACATCTAGGTCTGCATCTATATATGTATCTAGATAGATTTTTGTATAGTCATATCTGTATGTTTGTCTATTCGTAACTATCTATCTATCTATCTATTAGTATATGGTGAATTAGTGCCACTTTATATATATATATATATATATATATATATATATATATATATATATATATATATATATATATATATGCATATATATATATGCATATATATATATGCATATATATATATGCATATATATATATGCATATATATATATATATATATATATATATATATATATATATATATATATATATATATATATATATGCATATATATATATATATATATATATATATATATATATATATATATATATATATATATATATATATATATCGAGCACATATCATAGATACGGTAAATGCATTAGATCCCCGTCTTGAGTACCTGGTGAATGCCCAAGGGCAGCAGGGAGTAATTGAGGACCGAGACCCAGGCCAGCGCCGGGCCCACGGACACAGCATACGAAGCCAGGATCAAAAGTAGACTTTTATTCCTGAGGAAATATAGAAGGGCTTCGTCATGAACTTTGGCATTTAGAATTCCCATAATGAAGATTCTAGATTCCTTAGACGAGCTTCTAAAATTTATGAGATTCCATCAACATTCCTTAGGTTTATATTACATATTTTATATACTGGCAGATATATGAATAAAAGATCTGAAATACTGTTGAAGAAATAGTAAAGAAAGAAGGACAATAGGACACTGGTAATCTTTATTCGTATGTATCTAACATGTTATTTCTATTCTATCATGTATTTTTACAGGAAAAAAAAAACTTTGTGTATGATTTCATAGTAGCTCTGCTCTGCCTCTGCCTATTACAACTCGGTTCTAGTTAAATACAACTAAATCTAAATACATATAAATACAACTGTTACCACAAGCACAACAAAGTAAATTCAACACAGCTAACCAACGACTATTTTTTCTTCTTCGACAAATACTGAACTACAACACCAAGGAAATATTAAGCCAATTACCGCGTCCACCAACGTACCTAACGCAAGCCAGAACGCCGGGGATGAAGTTGAGTCTCTCGCAAGACGAAGTCACCGATGGGGGGATCTTGGGCTTGGACGGGAAGTAAACAACCACGGCCAGCAGCAACACGCCCGAGAAGCCCGCGTCTGTCAGTGCAACGAGAGTTGTAGTGAGTAGCGGATGATCCTTAATGTGTTCTGGGATAGCCATGGATGGATGAGATGTAGGCGTGAGAGATGTTACTAAATAATGTATAGTGAAGAATCGATGAACGCAATACTATACATCAGGTAAATTGGATATCACTGAGCATAACTGATATATCCATCCTTTATTATATATTTAACAGTCATTTTTGTTCACAGTGGCCGCGAACAGGCCCAGGGAAGCGCGTGAAAAACATTCGTTTGCGAGTTCTAGCTGTTTTTTTTTTTTTTTAATAAACCAAAGAGTTTTTTCTTTTTTTTAAGAGTAGTCACTCAAACTACGAAGGCTCAAACGAAAAAGATTAACGATTAACTTTTCTAGCACAGCCCGCACTTTTCCGCGCCTGATCGTTGCCAATGTGGACGCGTACTAAGGCGTAAAGTTTGAATTAATGTAGGAAGTAGTCCGTCTTACATAAGGGTGCTTATCATAAATCCTGAGATAAACCATTCTAAAAGTCATCCGTTCATGAGACCTGAGGATGCGTATATGACTATATGTTTATGTGAATACGCATATTGTACAAACCTTACAATTCCCTCACTTAAGACTTTCTTGTATAACCATCGCCCCTTAGTAACCTCCAACTACTCACGTATGTAAAGAAGTCTCATGATGTCATTCCGAAGGTCTTCAATGGTAACTCCTGGCCCCGGGACCCGCACGATGAACGGCTCCAGGTAACTGCCGACGGAGCCCAGCTGACTGCACCCCATCATCACCGCTGGAACATGACACAGCAGTAGATGTCTTCGTTAGCCCTAATGGACGCTCATTATCGTTATCATTGGTGTCATTGTATTGTTATTATCATCACTGTCATTATTATTATCAATATTATTAGTATTGTTAACAGTAGTAATAATAGTAGCAGTCGTAGTAGCAGTAGCAATAACAGTGGTATTATCATTATCAATATCATTATCATTACCATCATTTTACTATTATCGTCATTATCATTATCATTATGATTACTATCACCTATTATTGCAACTGAAAATAAAAATGATGATGATGATGGTGATAGTGATGATGATG